TTTAATCATAATGTTCAGCCCTGATACCAGCACTGCATCACATTTACAGCCTCAAGAAAAGACTGGTCTAGACAAGGTGAATTCAGCAAAGAATTGTTAGTTCTCCCTAAGACTGAATGGGGTAATCATTATGTGCTGGTCATTATCCACGAGTTCACTAAGTGGGCTGAGATATACTCATTGGTCGACATTTTAGCACAGTCTACTGCTGATTGCAGAGCATGTTTAGGCACACCTGAATAGATTCACATAGATCAGGGATCTTACATTTGTGAAAAAAATCTACTTTCCATTTATAATAACAGTTGATTATAAATCTCTGTGCGAGCTTGAACAAGATGACAAAATGTTTATCACTTTTAAATCAAGTATAAAAAGGACTAATCCTTCATTTTATCCAGTGATGTCAATGCTAAGTGTTCTCTTACATTAGTAGCATGACTGTTTAGAACTTCCATTTTTGATGAACTAATTTTTGCACTTCTAACCAGATCCTGTTCTATTTTTCTCATTGCCTGATCTGAAAAAACTCTGCTTAACATTGTCTACAGTGTTATGGTTATATACAAAGAATATTTGTTATGACACTGATTATTTGTTTTGTTTAATGGATATTTCTTTCCGTTTACAAGTGTATATAAATTATACCAATACTTGTAAGCTCATACATATATATATGAATATTGAATGTACAATTCAATTAAGAAAACACTACAAGGCATACCATTATCTTACACGTTTTTTTGCATTTTCTTTTTTCACGAGAAGGAAAACATATTTGCTTCTTCCAGATATTGTGGAGTTATTTTGTTATTTTATTCCGCAAAATGACAGATGCACGCACATACAGGAATTCTGATTTGGTTCTCCATCTTTTCATCTAAATGACATGACAAGACAATCTAAGTTACTAAACATAAATAAAATTCTGCCACGAGACATGTATAACAATACACTTTATATTTAATTTATAGTTAGATACAAAGTTTGACACAGATTCAAACACAGAATGTAATATAGTAGGAACAAGGCCTAGTTGGGCATGCTGCATGAGACAAAATTGGCGTAGTACTACAGTGCCAGTAATAACAGCAACATTAATATTACTCCATCTATCTATCAAAGTTATATACTTACCAACAAATTATTTCGAGTTCAAAAGAAAGCAATAAAAAGCATCCTTCTTGCTTTGATGGTTGCAGTTTGGTGCAAAACATTGAACCATAGCTAGCTGCTGTTATGGACAAGTTAGGCCTACAAGTTCTGGCAAGTTGCTAGACAGAATGATGTCATGGATTACCTAGCTTACACCATACAATACTATCCCTACGAAAGTTGCGACAGAATTAAGCTCCCTCCTGAGAAATACAAATGCTGAACTGTTGGTATTAGCTTTAAATTTGCATTTCTAGAAGAAACATTTATATATATATAATGACATTCTGGTCCAACAATACTCTTTAATTCTGACCTTAATCTAAAACAAACCCAATTATCAACAAAATATTCCAACACTTTCATATTACAAATGTTCTGCTAAAAAAAAACAGTTCCTATTAGCTCCTTAGTAATGCAGCTGACTCAAAGAAAAACAATAAATATATACATTATTACAAACTAAGATGTGTTTTACATATGATCATGCTACATGAAGGGTTTTTATTAACTGAAAGTCATGTTTCTCTTCTTAGAAAGAAGTTCAGCCATTTTTTCAGCTTTCACTCTAAGTAAATGTGTAACTTTCCGTTTCTCCATAAACTTTTCAATAAAATCTTCCACAAGTAAGTCTCCTCTTTTCAAGTCATCAGCCATTTTCTGAGAAGGATAAAATATTTATTATATTTCACCAGTTATTTCTCTTATAAATTGTAAAATTCTATGACTCACCTGAATAATTTGTAAACGTCTAATTTGTTTTTTTTAAAAATTGTAATGTTGCATGACCTAAAACTTTTATATGTTTTTTAGTTCTTTAATTTCTTTTTTCTTCAATGCCTAAGGCAAAAAAATCTAAACAAAACAATAATATTTTAACTTCTAAAAACTATAAAAGTCTCACTAAAATTTTAGCCACCTGGGATAACAGAAAAACCAGAAACCACAATAGAATATTAGGCTAATTTTATCTTTGCAATGCATACAAGTCACATAAATGTAATGAACCATTAGTTCAAAATATTTTAATCTTGTATATGTTTGAAAAATACACTTCTAAACATACTCGCTATCTATCTCTGTTAATGTATAGTCGAAGATATAAAAATTATAAACACTATATTTAATTCCTACTTTTAACTCCTTTGCCGTTTACTTCAAGATACATAACTTATACATAATTCACTCATTGCTCTTCCTCTTCATCACCTGATTTGAAAAATGAATCTGTTATACATATTGTATTTTACTCTTACCTTTCTCTCGTGTTGTTTGGTTTGATGAATGAAGGTTATGTACACATTGTGGTTGACTTCTATATACACACTGTTATATAAACATTGTATTTGACATTTAGCTCTATCTCTTGTACTGTCTGATTTTATGAATGTTAGCTATATACACATTGTACTTGACTTCTATATATACACACATTGTATTTGACTCTTACTTCTTATCTCTTGTACTTTCTGGTTTGAGGAAAATGTTATATATGCAATGTTTTTGATTTCTGAATATACACATTGTATTTGACTCCTAGTTCTATCTCTTGTACCACTTGGTTTTATTTCTTAAAAAATTACTGCCAAAGAACATAGGTTATAAACTTGCTATATTTGATTCCTGCCACTAACTTTTTTACAGCCTTTATCAAATAACTTAATTTTTATTTACACACAGCACTTGATCCCTATTTTGGTACTGTCAGGGTTAAACATATCATTAACCTACTACTGATTCTTACTTTGGTACTGTCAAAGTTAAACATATCAGTCACTTACAACTGATTGCTACTTTGGTACTGTCAGGATTAAACATATTATTAACCTACTACTGATGCTTACTTTGGTACTGTCAGGATTAAACATATCATTAACCCACTACTGAAGCCTACTTTGGTACTGTCAGGACAGTAGTGGGTTAATGATATGTTTAACCCTGACAGTACCAAAGTAGGCTTCAGTAGTGGGTTAATGATATGTTTAAAAGCCTACTTTGGTACTGTCAGGGTTAAACATATCATTAACTCACTACTGATTCCTACTTTGATACTGTCAAAGTTAAACATATCAGTCACTTACAACTGATTGCTACTTTGGAACTGTCAGGATTAAACATATCATTAGCCTACTACTGATGCCTACTTTGGCACTTCAAGATTTAAACATATCATTAACCTACTACTTTCACTTGTTTTGTCTGAATTAGTAAACACAATATTTTGATTCACTCTAGCTAACACATGCCTCTGTTTCTTCTTCTGATTGGGCTGCTGAAGTCTGAAGAATGGCCAAAACTGTGTCTAGTGACTCTTGCTTGCTCATTTCGTCTGCAATAAATCAGAAAGTGTGGGGGATTGTTTAAATTCAGTAACAGACAGGGAGTGGATTTGGTTACACAAACCTGAAGTAAATTACCAGTAAGAGACAATAAATTAAAAAAAAAATACTACTGGAATTATTCAATTATAAATTACAAAATAAAATGTCTTCAGTTTGTAAATAATGCATCACTTACTGCAAACAACAAGGTTGTTAGTAAAAGTAAAAAATTGCATTTAGAATTATAAGCTATTTCTTTACATTACACACCACAGACAGTGTTGTTTGTTAGTCAAAGGGTGTAGTTATACCCACCAATAGCAATGTAAATGGCTTGATTGTTGTGTTTGATTTACATACAGTTTGATTTAGAACAAAGAATTTACGTAGAAGCTAAAAGTTCATGTCTATCCAATCCAAAGAAATGTCATATCACAAAATTTAACAGTTATTATTGCAAAACATGAAAATTTATTGTTAATGTAAAGTAACATTTGACATATGAAAGGAAAACTTCCAATTGCATACAATTCTAACTAAACCTAGTTGCAGATGTCCCTCTGTGAACAAATCTTAATAATTCAGTTGAGCAGACCACTGACACATACACACAGGTTACTGTAAAATGAAAGTAACTGCTTTTGTTTTCCTTTTGGTAATGTTATAAATGATTAATCATAAAAGCTTATTTACTCAAAAAATCAATGTTGTGGTATCAAATACAATGTACAAGTTTAATGCTAAGGCTACAAATGAAGATTGCTAAAATCAGACTGATTAATATTTAGACAATATCCTATGAAGGTTACCAAAATGAAACTGGTCAATCTTTGGACAAAATCCTATGAAGGTTGCTAAAATGAAACTGGTCAATCTTTGGACAATATCTTATGAAGGTTACCGAAATGAAACTGGTCAATCTTTTGACAATATCTTATGAAGGTTACCGAAATGAAACTGATCAATCTTTGGACAATATCCTATGAAGGTTACCAAAAAAAAAGACTGATTAATCTTTGGACAATATCCTATGAATGTTACCAAAAGAATACTGCTTAATCTTTGGACAGTATCCTATGAAGGTTACCAAAAGACCGTTTAATCTTTGGATAATATCATATGAAGGTTACCAAAAGAAGACTGATTAATCTTTTGACAATAACCTATGAAGGTTACCAAAAGAAGATCATTTAATCTTTGGATAATATCCTATGAAGGTTGCCAAATAACACTGATCAATCTTTTGACAATAACCTATGAAGGTTACCAAAAGAAGACTGATTAATCTTTTGACAATAGCATATACAGGTTGCCAAAAGAAGACTGATTAATATTTGGACAATATTCTATGAAGGTTACCAAAATAAGACTGATTAATCTTTTGACAATAACCTATGAAGGTTACCAAAATAAGATTGATTAATCTTTTGACAATAACCTAAGTAAAACAAGAATGTTCTTCCAAGAACCTTAAAAAGTTGTAATTTGATAAAGCTATAATATAACCTTCACCAGCATTTATAACATGACATCCATATCAAAACACAAAAAGACTAAAGTCATAACAAGATTCTAAATGCAAGGTTCAACCTAACTTTTTTTTTTCCATTCTATTATTGTTACTTTGGATACTGAATTTTGTTTACAGCAAGCTACTTTGATGCACTGTACTATGATAAAAGGTTAGAGTAGATCTTTAATATGCTGCTATCTATAAATTACGATATGTCAACAGCTAAAGCAGATAATGTTGGGTGTTACATGCTAAGCGCTAACTATCATGACTTCAAGCTTGTTATGATATGAAGCATAATGATTTTGAATACAGCGAAAAGAAAATTATCAGAAAGTATGAAATAGTGACAAGTGTAACGGATCTGACTAAATATTGAAAAAACTTTTACATTTAAAGAAGATATATTTGTGTTGTTGTTTTCTAACTATTTACATTTTAGAAGAGATAATTTCAAGAAATTATACATTTATACTATTAATAATTAATCAGCGGTATTTTCATAAAATTATAGCACAGTGATGGCATCACTTATGCGTAAGGGTAAACTATCACTCTCAACCATTATTTTTCAGTTCTTGCATATTGTTGTAATTATAATGTTTGGAATTAAACAGCCACAGATAAAGTAATCTCAGATCAATGGATTAAAGTTAATTAACAGGATTTGATTTAATGTAAGAATGCGTGCTCAATAATAACTTATCTGCTTCATGATGATTAAAGTGTAATGGAAAAAAATTTGCCAGTTGGAAAAAAAAAAACATGCAAGAAACAGAAAAGTTGTTGATAAATGTGATTAGTAACTTAGAAGTTACTTATTTGGCCTAAGTTGCATATACACCTACTTTTATTTTTTTATCATATACTTCAAGTTGCAACAGATCAAAAATAAAATACTAAACATTTTAGGTTTGTTGGGTTGACTTTGAAAAACAGAAACAGAACTAAATGACAACTATATTAAAAATGTAGTTGTAAGTATAATAAGAAAAACATACTTGTAGAAAAATACTTTAAAAACATTGGGAGTCAAGTGTCTTTAAATAATCCTTTCTCACCAAACAATGCTTATTAATATTTCTTGGTAACACAAGAGGCCACACTGGTTATCAATCGCATGTAGTAGAACCTTAAAATATTTTCTTTTTATATTTCTTTCAGTAATAAACACTTGTAAATGGTACATTATTAGCTGAAGAACACTGACTATCGAAGACTTTCTTCAAGATGTGTTACCAATTCGTATTAAAGAACCTTAAAATATGCCTACAGTTACATAGAAAATATTGGGCAAATCTTTTCAACCATTTCTATATTATTCTGATCAATAACTGTATAATATTTTTAAAGTATTCGTTTGGAGAAAAACATTCATTTATAACGGGAACTGAATTTTAAATATAATGCTGGAGATTTCAAATGTAAAGAAATATTTCAAACAGCTTTCATTCATACTCAAAATAATTATAAAAATGGAATGAAATAAAAGTTTCACTTCAATAAACTGAATGAAGCATATATACCCAATTTAATTATATGTAAAATGTTCTAAAAGTCAGGGCTCAAAACTAGTACTAGCAAACTCGTAAATTGCTGCATATTGTTACAGTTTTGCTAGCAGAACTTAGAACCACTAGTACACATTTCAGAAGGAAGTTCTTACTGTCAAATACCTGTGATATATGCATTTAAATTGTCTGTGTATTTCAAGATTCTGAGTACAGAAGGTTATTTTTATAGTGATAAGCAAGTTTGTTTCACTTTCCAGTGACATGCTAGTCGTGCAATCTCCCATAATAACTCAACGGCATAACCCAGACTAAGTATCAGAAACTAGGGATAGTAAGACCACACCTTTTACTGATCTGATCAGTTGCCAAGTCAGGTAGCATGTGAGTCAGCAGTTAGACTCATATTAACTGGACTCTGTAGTGCAGTTTGCTAGCGGCATGTTTAGAAATACCATTCCCAAGTGGTTGCTTATTCGAGGCAACAGAAATTATGTACATTGCAAATATTTTTCACCCACATTTATTGTCATTTATTTACGATTAACACAACTGTTAGGACTACTACTTTCTAATGCTTAGTCAGCTTTTAGAATTTAAACTGTAATTTTTAAAAATAATGTACTTTTTTTTAGTATAAGGTGGTCAATCAGCAGCGTGGTCCTGTAGACTTTGTTGATTCAGATGCATCTTTTAACTTTTGTGAAATAGTTAAAATAAAAACACTGTCACATGTAATTAAGCTGTTCAAAAAAGAAAATATGACAAGGAAGATTTATACATATAAATTGATATTTATATATTTATTAGCATTTAATTCACATAATAATAATGGCACGGATACAGTTAATTTCAGAGAATAATAATGTTGTTGCTACAATCAGTCACAAATTTGCTGGTGGGAAAAAATAGCCACCAATTGTACCATCAAAAGTTAAGTTCAAGGCCCAAAAGCTAATACTTTAAGTTGATAAATAAAGTTTATGTTTATAGTGTGATATGATATTATGCTTACATATAGCCAATTAATTTAATGTTACAATTTTGAAAAGCTTCTCTAGATCTTAGGTTACAATCAGTAGCATTATCCTATCTATTAGCAATCCCAAGGCTTTCTGGAGGCTTAGCAGTAAGCTTGAGGGCTTTAAACCCTAAATTTTGGGGTTTGACTCCAGCAGTGGGCACAGTGCAGATAGATCATTGTGCAATTTTGCACATAAAAAAAAAGACATATTAGTGGGTTCCAGAAATGGCAAGATCTAACAAATCCTTTTTTTAAACCAAGAAAACAAAACACACAAAGATAAAACTTTAAAATATATAGCATTGTTCACATAACCTTAAACACACAAAGATAAAACTTTATAATATTCTCTATACTTCCCTTAACTGGCTAGTCCTTACTAGTATAATAAGTATGGCCACTGATAATCTTCATTATTACAGAACTTTTTGCACATACTAACCATATTTCTGTTTATTCTCCTCCACTTCTTTTTTCAAATCCATGGCTTCTAAATATACTTGGGACAATCCTTCACGAGCTTTGAGCAAAACAGGTTCTTGATTCAAATTGAACTCGGCAAGACTTTTGTTACTGGCTAACAATATTTCCCTCTCTGCCTCAATATTCTTTACCTGAGTAAATTAAAATTACACAACTATTAAAAATATTTTGCTTAGTCCTTCTCTAATAATTAAAACTAATTCAAAATTTCAAATGCTGTCATCCGGAAGAGAAAATAAGTGTAAGTATATTTGGTTTTGGATTGTGGGGTAAAATCTTTACCTGAGTGAACGATGTTCCATCATCTTGCACTTTGTTTCATTTCACGAGTACAGCAGTCTGTACATTGTACTACTTTCATCTTTAATACCAACCTTCTGAATCTCAATGATAAACATTTATAGAGAGATGAAATTACATTAAAAGTGATATTTTTTCCCTAAACTAAAACTACACATAAGTGCATCTACTCTTAACAGAATTAGCACATCAATTCAGTTACCTGTTGTAAATTTCTAACGATTTTATTCAATTCTTGATCTTCACTTAGAAGTCGCTTAAGTTCTTCAGTGTTGGTATCTTGTAGTAGACTTGAAACTGCCATATAATCAGGATTGACCTCATTGATGTGATAGGACATGCTATACATACAAAAGTTCCAAAAAAGAATTAGTAATGAAAAATGTTTGGAGAGTACAGCACATACTGAGAATATAATAAACATATAATCAATTTAGGAAAAAACATGCTAGATCAAATGGTTAGGTTACTACACAGAAACACCAATCTATCCCACTGAATAAAACTTAGCCTAATTTTACAAGCTAGGTTACATTTCATGTCATTATGATAGTTTCAAAACACATTTTGTGATGGCTCAGGCTCATCTTCGTAAAGTTATTTTCAGATGAAAATTGGTGTAACATACAAGTAACATAACATTTGAAGGACAATATTTGACAAGCATCATATAAATTAAAAAACAACACATTAACACGTAAAGATAACAAACATTTACTTTAAAATCATGTACATCATATTCACAAAAATAAAATTTTAAAGGTTTATTAAAAACCACAAGGATCCATATTTCCATCTTATTTGTTGTTTCCTGAATAAAAACTTGAAAATTAACACTGAAAAAAAACCCAATAATTATCTTTTTTTCCCTCTCTGTCAAAATACATGTACCATCATTAACTTAGAATTTTATTTCAAATTTAAATGCTCTACATAAGTAAACTTATTATCAGTACTTACAATCATGAATTTGGCAAGAAATATTCTAATAAGCTTAACAATGCAAAGTATACTAAATTACAAATGTAAAAAGTATTTTTTCTACTCTTGTAAAGAATATACAGCAGTCAAAAAACGTCTGAACTTACTGAGGAGACTTCTTATACAAGTATCTATTCTAAACTTCAAACATCGTATGACTTAAACTTAAAATTACCAAATGTTTACTGCTGATGAAGTTTATAGATTACATCATACTATTTTACATTACACAAGTAAGACTAGTTTTTAATAGGCAAAACATAAAATTACTCGTTAAGAAGCCTCACAGAATCATTTTGTGATATATAACAACCAATAAAAAAGGCAAAGGGAGATCTAGATTATTAACCCATTAACTTCCTAAGAATGTAACTTGTTACTTAAGACAATGAAAAGGGTATGGACCTGGTGTACTTTCAAAAGCTTTTGATATGGTACCACATAGAAGATTAGATAAGAAAATCACATCAGTAGGGGTTGGGGAAATACTAGTTAACTAGATTATAGGGTGGTTGGATGAGGGAAACCAAAAGGTTGTTATTGATGGAATTTAATGAAAATCAACACTGCCTCACAGGTCAGCACTTGGACCATTGCCTTTTCTTATTTATTTTAATTGTATTGAAGGAGGGGAATAATTAGTAAATTAATGAAATCAGAGGGAATCTGATTGAACTATTAAAGATTATAAAGGGAATAGATATAACTGATGCACCTTATTTTTTATCTGACAATCAGTAGTGTGATCTGAAATGCAAACAAGTGGTCATTCAGCCTATGCTCATAAATGTTTGTAGTTATACACAAAGCAACACAACAGGCTATCAGTGCTGTACTCATCACAGTTATCAAAACCCAGTTTTTAGCATCATAAGCCTTCATTTGCACTGAACATATAAATGAACATTTAGTAGATAATTAGATTTGGTTTTACCTTATCAAGGAGGGCTGCTAGATCTCAAGAAAAGAAGGTTTATCTTTAAGGAATGTCGTATCTTCTCTTGAGAGAAAAAAGAGTAAGAGGTGATCTAATTGAAGATTGTCATAGGAATAAATAGCATAAAAGCCCCCTGATTACTGAAGACAAGAGAACATAAATATATATATAAAACATGCTAGTTTCCATGTAGGTTTTTTATTGTCTAACAGGATGATTGGCTTATGGAATGAGTGTCCGTTAGCAGTAGTGAAAGTTGGCCTTTTACAAGAGTTTGATTTTGACAATAGAATCAATAATTTCTTGAAAAATAAATGGTGGATTTAAGTTTTTACTTCTTCTCAAGGGTGGGTGTGCTACCAGGGCAACCTTGAAGGGCCAAATGGTCCCTCGTTGTCGATATATTATGTTAATTAACATCAAAAAAACATTCACAAGCATTACAAAGCTTTGACCAACAAATATATAAACTATGAAGGTCATAGTCAAGTTTCCACTTCTTTATTTCAGGGGTTTTATCAGGAGGAAAGGTAGTAAAATGTATGAATGATAGAAAGATAAGAAAAGACTAGATGGCAGAAAGCTATTTAGCCCATTGATGTCACTTGAATAAGAAACCAGTCCAGACTAAATATCATCCTTCACAATCATGAGAACTATCCAATAAATACATGAAGTTCACACTACCAGCACACATCAAATCATTCCATGATTTAAAAACTCTAACAGGGAAAAATTTCTCTAATAACCAGTCTGGACCTCTGCTTCTAAAGCTTATATATATATATATATTTCCTTTAACGTTTAAAATTTCATCCTCATGTTTATCCTTCTACCATTTTAAAGAAACTTCCACAGGCAGTTTATCCAAGCCCATAACAATTTTAAAAACCTGAACCAGTCCATCTCTAACACTTCAGAAACACTGGTTGGCAGTAGTGGAGACAGGACTTTACACCAGTTTAAACAAGAAATTTATGATTTTTTAAAAATAAAAGGGTGGGTTCAACCCCATATTTACTCAAATGTGGGTGTTAAAGGACAATCTAAAATGATCAAATGGCCCTTTGTTATTCTTACGTTATCTTTGGATCCTTCTTCAAACTAGGAATTATTTTGCTAATCTATATCACCTCTAACCTTTTCCAAGCAAGTTAAAATTATATTCCTATAGCAAAGGTACTAAAAACTGAATATAGTTCTGAAAAAGAACAAGGTCTTACCAGAGTTTTGTGCAATGAAATAACTTTTCTGCTTCTGAGCTTTTAATGTTTGTCCTTGAATTACAGAACCCTATTTTCTTTCTACACCACTTCTGAACATTCAGCCAAAGACTTGGGGCTTTTTTTTATATATACATATAATTTAAGGACCCTCCCATCCACTAAAGTAATCATTAAAATGAAAATAAAACACTCAAAGCCAGCCCTATCATTCACATATTTATCAAGATTTTCCTTAAACTCCCATTAACTGCTTCCACCACATCTAAAGGCAACCAATTTCAAAAGCCAACTATCCTGTTATAAAAACTGAGCTGTTTTAGCTGAACATTACTCCTACCCTGCCAAAATGTATATTTGTGTTCCCTAATCCTACCATTCCCACCACTAAATACAAACAAAAAAAGATGTATTGACACTATAATTTCCCTTAACAATCTTAAACACATCAATCAGGTCCCCTCTAATGCTTTTTTTTTCCCATGATAATACAGTTTCAGAGATCTAAACCCTTTCCAACAATTCAATGTTCTTCCTAAGATGAGGAACCCAAATTATCCTCAATCTTCACTACACATATTTCTAACATACAAAAAACTTTTTTAATGATTAGCTCACTTAGCAAAACTTACCAAGTTTTTTTGTATTAATAAAATCTATTGATTCAACTGTTGGACCATTTGATTCTATATCATGCACTATTAGTATTACCGAGTAATACAACATGTCACTATGACAGTAGGTCTCTCATTTTCAGAATTTTATAAACAATTTTTTTTTACACATTTGCCTATATTTTAGGTAACTTAACCTTAAAAAACATACATCAGAAACAAATTTGAAATTAAACAAGTTAATTACATTTTCAACATGTTCATTTACGCCCAGATACCTGTTAATGTGCATAATTTTAGTTAAACATGATAAAATAACATTATCATGTAAAAGCACGCACTATAAGTAAACTACGTTTCGGGATATGCACTACGAAATAAGGAGCAGAAACTTATTTCTACTTCTAATCTAAGTCTAGTGGTTTCTGCTACTAAATTAAATAGTAACACTATGTCTACGACTCGTAGTACAAGTACGAGTCAAACTACGTTTCGAACGTGACCTTGCTTTACTCTTACCTTTGATAATAGTCGATATGTTATTATGTATCGGAGCCACTTCAGTTTACTTAATTTTGAGTAGAATTTGGCTTACATAACAAGCAAAGTGACATTAAATGAACTGGATCAACTTTCTCATATTCGTAAAGTTGGTTGTCAAAGATAGTCTAACCAAAACTAATCAGTTGTTTGTGCCCTCTAGTGTTGGAAAATAGATACATTATAGAGGTCGCCAGATTTGGACTTCACTTAGGTTGTGATACAGAGACAGAGTGATAGTTAAGTTTAATCAATTCGTAGGCTTATAAGTTCCATGAAACATAGATGTTGCTTTCGGATAGCTTGAACGCATAATGTGCGAAAAGAAAGTTTATTTATTACAAGAAACTTAAACAAATAATACTTTAGTTTGAGAAGATAATTTTTAACACTGACTTCAGTTCAGAATGACGAAGGATCGATTGGCAGCGTTGAAAGCGGTAAGGACAATCTGAGCTTGCAAGTTGCATGTAATTATTTTCGTTCTACCGGCATAGCGTCCGTTCAGTGTTACCTACAATCAACTGTTACTGTTAGTACTAGCTAACTTAAGTTAGGGTACATTTTTAAGAGTGAATTACAATAGGTTCTAATGTAAGATTTCAGTTCAGCCTAACATAACTGTAAATTGTGTGTTACTATATTCATTTTTGTAATATAAACTATACATTTGAACTAACTAAGTGATGTAATTGACTTCGTAGCTTATTAGCTGTACCAATTTGTATTTTCTGTTTTTTCAACAAGAATCAAAATTGCTAATTTCGTCGAGATAAGAAATTTAATCTAATGCTATATAATTGACCCCCACGTTCTACGGTTAATATTATACAACACTTTTCTTTATAAATATAACTTAGATACTTCGATTTTTAGCTTGGTAGCTTATCACAGCAGGCTAGATAATCATCTGAATTTCTATTATCCTTTGATTCATTTGCTGTAATGTACAATAGACAGAAGTGGAATTAAGACTCGTATAATTTAAATTTTTATTGCGTGACATAAGTGAGATAACTTACGTTTTAAACTTGGTTTTCCCAGCTTTACACTATAAATTACAGTGACTAAAGGTTTGGATAGATGCCAAACAGAGAGTGAATTATACAGTTAGATTTCTATACTAGTGGCAAAAAGAAATGTTTTTGGCAGTAAAGAACAACATTGTCATTTGAAAAATGGGCATAATTCTGGGTTTTTTATGGTTTAGGGGCAACTTTATTATGACCATTTGTCACATTGCAGTTTTTAATATTCTTAAAAATGGTTTTTGAAGTTAGGATTTAGTTAGCAAGAACGCATTTAAACATTGAAAAATAAAAATGTGCTTGTGATTTGGAATACTTCTATTGTGTGAGAAACTTAAGTCATATGGACTTAGGTGTGATTATTGATAAAATCTTGAAACTTGTGGTTAAGATCTGGTAAAAAGGATTAATAGTGTTCCAATGTTTTATATAGAACTTTTCAATTTAAGAATGAGAAGACTATTATTATATTCTATAAGATACTGATAAATAGTAATTTTAGAATATTGTATTCATCAGTTTTAGTTCCCATGTTATATAAACAACACTGAGGTGATGGATAGAGTGTAAAGGAGATGTAATAGAGTTATTCTTGGGTTTATAAACTTGAGATATAAAGATTTAATTAAATTTCTATATTTTTTGTGTGGAGAGGCAAAGAATTAGAGGTGATTCCTTTGAGATATTTAAAATTGTTAAGGGCTTGGATAAGCTATCTGTAGTAGGTCCATTTGAGTTGTATGATGGGGGGAGATAGGATGTAGGGGATAAAATGTTTAAAGTAATAAGTATAATCTTTCTAAAACAAAGATCTAGACAGACTATAGTGAACTGCTTGTTGTTTAATTTATAAACTTGTGAAATATTTTTTTTTGTAATAATGTAGTAGAAGAGAATATTAGGGTGACAGAATTAATAAACATAAGCTGTATAAACCTAGAGATAACTTTAAGTTGATAATCACAAAATAGAAAATTAAATTGCATTAAATATTATTGAACTGCCTTGATGTTTGTAAGTATGGATTAGTGGTAGTGTTTTCAATGCTTGTTGAATGGGGAGCTTTTCAGTCTTTGTTTATTTAATTTATAAGATCAACATGTGGAAATTTAGCAGTCAGTATGCAAGTTGACTATGTTGTTTCTCATTTTTTTTCTCTCTGATCATATTTGAAAAGGCTGTAAGGTCAGTTTGAAATTAAAAGATAAAGTCATTTATTTTTAAGATATAATAAATCCTGGAAGTTCTTATTTAAAGAAATATATGATGTTTCTTTAACTAGTTATGTTTCATTTAAGAACTTAACTCAAAAAAGAAAAAAAAATATTTATCAGTCTTTCAGTTATGTTAGGCTTGACTGCTTTACACCAATGTAAGGATGGAAAACATTCAATAACTAGACATGAAATGTACTTTAGCCACAGACATGCCTGATAAATAATGTTTACATGTTTTAACTTGCTCCACCCATAGGAAGAGTAAATATAGTATACAATGTATATTAATAATGTGAAATTTAAATAGCTTTTTTTTATTAGTGGACATCATTAGAACCTTAGATTAATATCAAACATGAACCTGAAGAATATCAAACACTCATGCAGTATCTTTTTATATCATTGCGTTGTATATAACTAAAGCATGCTTTAACAATGTTCTAAAATATATGATTATTAAAATTCTGTATATGAACAGTGATACCATCTGCACATTATTAATTGTTCAATTACATTATGCCAACATCTTTCTATTTGTGATGTCTTTGTAAGCCTTTTGGGAACAAACCAAACATGAAATTATCATGAATTATATAATTACTTAGTAGAAAGTAAATGTTTATAGACAGAATAGAGCACTAAACAATTCAATACATTTTTGCATATACTATAAATATACATAAAGCATAAAATAAGTAGTCTGTGTGATGATAAAAAATGGATAAATAAATATGAAAGAAGAATATTGAAAGTTGATAAACATAACTGTAGATATTTTGTAGTTAGCAATCAGAAATAAACATGGCTGTCAGAATTTTAAAATTTATCAATTGTCAAAATAAAAAGGCTTTTACTTGTATTTCTTAATAGTATAAATGTATACTATGTTGTTGTTGGGCTTAGGATTCTTCTACAGTAAGTGTCTGTGACTTGTTAGCGATAAATTCAACGATGAATAAACAGTACGCGCTTCACTTGTTTTCGAAATAATATATAAATTCAGAACAAGTTAACGTATGTACGATAAATTCTTCAACACTATAGGTATTATGGACATATCATAAACACTATTTATATATAGTTCTCTCCTTCTTGTCAAATATCCACTTAGGCCTATTCAATTATATTATGATTTCAGTTGACAAGCCGAACTATCTTCTCTATTTCTAGAACAGTAGTATTCGCTGTGATTCGCATACAATTGTGGCACGAGTTACCATAATTGTTTGGTCTTCTTCCTTATGAAGATCCTCTGTTCTTTTTGTCAAAGTGCACTCAGGCTGATTCGATTACTTTAGAACCACGCTTTCACGGAATAAAATTATTTTTCTTATCTTCTTTTCTACTGTTAGTTTCATACTAACATATTAAACATTCGGCCTATGTCAAGCATTAGGCCTATCACATCTATGGTACTTAACTTCACACCAACTTTATTCTCTTTTGCTATTATCTGTCTCCTGCTTCCCGCTCATCTGATGCTATTTATATCTTTATTACCTAATCATCTGTCTACCTTCTATATTCTCGACGTCAATGAATTATTAACAATACTTCCTACAATCGTCTGCTTCTAACTCTTATTACAACAAAAACTAAACAATAATAAAATATTCACTCACAAATATAAATTAATCACTAATATCTAAACCAAACAGTCTTTTATATCATGACAATGACAATGTTTACATATTCAATTTTTACATTAATAAAGCTTTTGTTTTTTCAGTCTCAAGGGGATGATGATGTTGCTGTTGCTGTTGAAGATGTTAGGGGTGGAGGGTATATGGATGAATTCTTCCAAGAGGTAAATACAAAAATGTTTACATGGACTTATCCTATTCACTAGTTTGCTACTTTTGTATAGTTTTATTGCATTTTTTTCTCCTTCCGTGCAAAATGTATTGTATAACTCATTTATGGAACAGTCAATCCAAGTTAGTGAAACTACTTTAAAAAAAAAGCTACCAGAAACTGTTGAAAGAGCTCTTAGTTTTTATGAAAAATTGTTTCTACACATAACATCTTTAATCTTTTCCAGTGATTGGTTTATATCTCCTTCATTTAATGCTTTGTTTAGCAGTTTTTGGAGTATCTCCTGTCACAAACCTATAAATACAGGCTTAGCTACTTTTAAAAATATTCAATGACACAATATATATATATATATATATATCTTGAAATGAAAACATGACACATACTTGATGTGCATCAACTTCTAGAAGTCCAAGCAAGCTCCAGTTGAATTCAGAGCTGCTGTATAAAAACTTAGCATTTTGTATGGATGCTACTCTAATTTCCTTTCATTCTGTTGTTAAATATATTTTCCAATGCAAAAGTTCAGAATATATCTTATTAATCAAATCAGATTTTAAATCATCATATGTTTCTAGTTTCTTGTGTTTAATTTGATTAAAGTTCTATTGTGTCTTACAGGCCTTTGTTTTGTGTTACAGTAGAATTACAGAACCACAAGTGCTTTACAAGAGATTTAAAGTCGAGTGTTTATACGGGAAAACAAGAAAAAGCTTATGAGTGTGATGGGAAATTTAATTCTGACACATAACGTTTTTCAGGTGGTATACCATTTAAAGATCAACAAGAAATAATATTTTAAAAACAATGATTTTCTTGTCTAACCTATGTCTCAAAAGAAGAAAATAGATTCTTGTTTACATCACTGGACCTATAATAATTAGGCTAATTTACAAGGCAAGTCTAACCATGGATCTAACATCATCTTCCAGATGCTCAAGACTCTTAGTCAGAATTCACTTTCCCTCGCCTGTCACAGTGGCTATCCTTTATCTTTGGCTCCCAAAAATAACAAAAGGTTGTCAGGTTATGCATGTGATGGTGCTTTAACTGCCACATCAGTATACACAAGTGAAGGTGTATGATGGAAAGAAAAAAAATTTATATTAAGAATCACATAGGAATCCATATGTATTTAAGGTAGACAATGGATTGTTTTGTCCAATTTGTTTGATCAGTTCTGCACTGAGTGTTGTAATAGGAAGTAACATGGAATTACCCAATATGATGTAGTTTTGGAACCCACCAGTTCTGAATGGTGGTATAACATGAAGTAGGCAATCTGAGGTTTAAAATAGTGGATATTGCCTCGTTGCACAAGGATTTTTTTAGTATATTTGTTAATGGTGTTGTAGAAAATAAGTACCTCATATGTTCTTTCCTTAGCATCCCAAATCTATCATATTAAATGTCATTCTGATCTCTTGTAACTTAAGTAAATTTGTAGAGAGACATATTAAGTTTTAATGTGCCCCCTGGTGGCTCAGCAATAAATCTGAGTGCTTATGACACTAAAAAGTGGATTTCCACGTTGGAAAAGCTGGACACTTGCACTAGTGCTTAGTATGTCTATAATTAACGGATTGCAAAGCTTATGATAGAATTATTTCAATAAAGTAAAAAAAAAAGGTTCTTTATAGAAATACATTTTCACAATTTGTAAAAATATTTCTTAAATATTTAAACCAATGGAATGACCATTGACTGTACGTCTTTCTTGTCTGGGCTTCAATAGAAAGACCCCACTGTATTGTGATGTATATTAGCACAAATAGGTATTGTAATGAATATATATATATATATATATCAGAAAACTATTTTTTTGGTGTTATAAAAACTAGCGAATGTTATTAATATTACGTTTATTTACTTTTGTTCAAACTAAATATGCCGATTCATTTGATTAAGTTATGCTAATTTATTATTTTCATGAGTAACGTATTGTAATTATAGTTGCTTTAATAGAAACACGTTCTAATTCTCACGGAATTAAACCGTTATTTCAATTGCATTTCACTCCGAAAACGGAAGCAAGTTACACGTGGTACTAGTTCTGTGGACAGCGTAACGCCTAAGAAAGTAATAACTCAATTTCATGGGGTATTAATGCAGAGAAATGGAACTTGGTTGTAAGAAACGTGTTTTAAAAACAATGAATTTGCGATTTTATCTTGCTAATTTTCAAGCTGTCTGCGTATTGTAAAACTTGCCAATGTCAGGTGAATACGGACGGTAATTAACGTACATACGTTATTATCCAAACTTTAAAAGTTTATTAGTAAAATATGATTTGAATTTGTTTACCATTTTTATAAAACTTTACACAGCGTTATAACAGTATCTGCATGACTAAATAGATACGAACTGAAGTCGTAGTTAACCATGAACTGAAGGAAATTGCAACTCATGTGAAGATTGTTTGATTCATCATGGTGAGCGGTTTTAATGCAAACACCGATATGAAATATACAAAAAAAGTCTTCACTACACTATACAGTTGAGATATCTTACCTAGGTATGACAATATATGACGTGTGTAGTTAGTAACATACCATAGTTGACATCTTTTACCACAGTATGACCGTATACGTGATGATTGATGTATTATAGTTGACTTTGTTTTAGCTCACTATGACCGTATACGTGATGATTGATTTTATTATAGTTGACTTTGTTTTAGCTCACTATGACCGTATACGTGATGATTGATGTATTATAGTTGACTTTGTTTGGGCTCACTATGACCGTATACGTGATGATTGATGTATTATAGTTGACTTTGTTTTAGCTCTCTATGACCGTATGTGAAGTGTTTAATATATTACAGCTCGAGCTTCACTAAGTTCATATATAAGCCGTATATGTTTAGTTTTCGTTATGTATCTATGTATGCACAAAAAATTAAAACACAATAACGCATCCGCGAAATGAATCGATACTGTGTTTGGTTGTCTGTTAACATTCCCAAATGCGACATACCGCGAGACAGTTAATTAAGGATGGCCCAAATAAAAATAAAAAATCATAGAAGGTTTTTTGTTTGTGAAATCAAAATTTCTTGGTGTTCCCATTATATTCAACGTTCTTCGGATATTTGGCTACACATACTACAAATGTCCGCTCTTATTATTTGTAATTAGATAATAGTATATGATTGATATGAATATTCTATATGACAATGCGTGCATGTCGCTAGTCGCCACCTTTAGCAACAGACGCAGAAGCACGAAGTCACGCATGCCTTACAAAAGTTGTAAGGTCATTTATCTAAATGAAGACCGGACTTAGGGGATCATCTTTTTCAGTATGTAGCCGTTCTATACTCTAAAGATATATAAATCTTCATTACGACTATGAGAAACTATAAGAGGGATTTGTATTTAAGAGCAAAGATAGCTAAATTTCATAACAGAAAGTTTTATCGAAGTACTAATTGGTAATGAACATGTTTCCTCTCTGTTTATACAATGAGTAAATTGGTTTCAGGTGTGTGTGACACGTGTTAAACCGTGAAAATAAACCAAAGGCGAAAGAAAAGTCCAACATTTCAGACAACTAACTGAGTATTGACTAAGACACTGACCACATTGCTTTCATGTTTTAAACAACTGGATAAGTTATACGGTTTAAACGCTGAAATTTGGCGAGTAGTGGAAACCAATATGGCGTAGTATTTTTCTCTGATAAAAAAAACAACGTTAAACTGCAGATGTTCGACGAAGGGCTCGTGGCAAATAAAAGATGGCTCTGAAATGCTATTTTTACACACGCAACACTGATTTGAAATCAAGATTAGTGTAAAAAAATATTTCCGCAACTATAGGTGATTTTTTTAAATCACAAATGTTAGGCCTAACTGGATAACCTTGTACATTTGCGTGTGTATTATTCGTAAACTATACAGGTATGACTGCAGAAGTGTTCATCACATGGGTTGGTTACAAGATGCTTGCCAAGGATTAGTGTATACGTAACACAAATAATTCTGGAATATCGTATTGTTTTACATACATTTTCAACTCGCTGATTGGTTAGCGTGTGTTGAAATTCACACACGTGTTTATAATAACAGGTAAATCAGATTTTGTTAATATTTTCTCAGAACTAAAGAGTTAGCTTTCCAGATTGCATTTCTTAATAGTGAAAGAGCAGCATACGAGACCACCGAAAATTGTTGCCTTTTTTGATCTGTTTTATTATTAATATTCAAAGCTGAAACTTCACTTTCGTGCCCATTTGATAAGTAATTTACGTATGGACAAGTTTATAAAAGGGTACACAAACTGTATATCTGAAAAATGTGCACTTGTACGTATTGAGAAAGATCGTACAGAATACCTCGTCTCCGTACTGAATGTGTGTGTTCGAATCCCCGTCACACCAAACATGCTCGCCCTTTCAGCCGTGGGGGCGTTATAATGTGCGGTCAATCCCACTATTCGTTGGTAAAAGAGTAGCCCAAGAGTTGGTGGTGGGTGGTGATAACTAGCTGCCTTCCCTCTAGTCTTAAATTGCTAAATTAGGGACGGCTAGAGCAGATAGCCCTCGTGTAGCTTTGCGCGAAATTCAAAACAAACGAACAAACCGTAGTGATTTATGAAATATATCTACTTCCATGCCGGACATACCAGAAGTAACGTATTAGATTTTTTTCCGGAGTTTAATCGCGCTTTAACAGCAAGAAGGCGGAACATATACCATCAGTTGCTTGTTTGTTGTTAGGCAAAAAGGTAAATAATGGGCTGTCTGTGCTCTGCCCACCGCGGGTAACGAAACCCGATTTAGGCTTATCACTTAGTCACCGGGAGGAGAGTATCAATTGAAAGACACAGATTGTGATTGAGTGTGAATAGCCTATTATGTTTATCAAAATTAAAAAAAAAATGTTCGTCGTTTTTTATACGTGAACGGTTTTCCCTAAACCGCCCTCTCTTATGTCTGTGTGTTTTTAAACTATCGATTAAACTATTATTCACGTAAGACGTTTTATCA